GAAAAAAAAAAAAAAAAAAAAAAAGATTTGAACATAAATAAAATTAACCTTTGTGACCTTTGTATGCATGGCCATGGAAAGACTTCTATCTTTGCATGAGCATTAGACTAAATGTCCTTTTACTCTTTGTCTTTACCAGTAGACATACTTTCAGTGGTCAGCTGAGGATAGGTAAAAGACTCTTGCTCAACTTACTCTACCTAATCTTGCTTTCCAGGAAGGGGGAGAAGATAATAAGCATTACTATCTCAATACATTTTAAGAAAAATTGTAAGCCGGGCACGGTGGCTCACGCCTGTAATCCCAGCACTTTGGGAGGCCGAGGCGGGTGGATCACAAGGTCAAGAGATCGAGACCATCCTGGTCAACATGGTGAAACCCCGTCTCTACTAAAAATACAAAAAATCAGCTGGGCATGGTGGCACGTGCCTGTAATCCCAGCTACTCAGGAGGCTGAGGCAGGAGAATTGCCTGAACCCAGGAGGCGGAGGTTGCGGTGAGCCGAGATCGCGCCATTGCACCCCAGCCTGGGAAACGAGAGCGAAACTCCGTCTAAAAAAAAAAAAAAAATTGTAGATCTGTTAAACAGTAAATGCATAGCTGATATATTTATTTATATGTAATTTCTAATTGAATTATAATCTTGTCCGTAGATGTTGACATTTTTAGACCAAATATAGTGTTAATAAAAATAGAAGCAAGGTGCAGTGGCTAGTGCCGATAATCCCAACTACTCAGGAGACCGAGGTGGGAGGATCACTTGAGCCCAGGAGATTGAGGCTGCAGGTAGTACACTCCAGCCTGGGTAACAGAGTAAGACCCTGTCTCTAATTGAATTAATGAATGAGTGAATGAATGAATAAATAAACACATAAATATTTTTAAAAAGAAAAATATAGACTGTATATTTTTATTTTTATATTATTATTATTTTTTGAGACAGAGTCTTGTTCTGTCACCAAGGCTGGAGTGCAGCGGCACAGTCTCGGCTCACCGCAACCTCCGCCTCCTGGGTTCAAGCAATTCTACTGCCTCAGCCTCTCGAGTAGCTGGGATTACAGGTGTTTGCCACCACAGCCGGCTAATTTTTTCTTTGTATTTTTAGTAGAGATGGGGTTTGCCATGTTTGCCAGGCTGGTGTTGAACTCCTGACCTCAAGTGATCTGCCTGCCTCAGCCTCTCAGAGTGCTGAGATTACGGGTGTGAGCCACCACACCCAGCCCATATTTTTATTTTTATAGGATTAATCAAATAAGCTACAACAAACTAAATTGATAGTGATAAAGCTAAAAGTAAGACCATTTTCTTCATTCATTCAGCAAACATTTGTTGATTACCAGCTGTGCAACAGGCAATAACAACACAATCTCTTCCTTCACAGAGCTCATAATCTAATGGAATTCAAAAGCAAGAATAGTAGTTGAATATTACAGGATCAACTTAAGATAACACTTACGGTTTTTCAAATCCCCTATGCCTATGGGATATTCTTAGGTTACTTTTAAATGCCTGCCCTGCGCATGATCTGATGTTTTATCTCAGTCAAAATTAGGTTGTAGGCTGAGTGTGGTGGCTCATGCCTATAATCTCAGTACTTTGGGAGACCTAGAGGTGGGGATCGTTTGAGTACAGGAGTCCGAGACCAGCCTATGCAACATAATGAGACTTGTCTCTACAAAAAATAAAAAAATTATCCAGGCAGGTCGTACGTGCCGTAGTCCCAGCTACTTAGGGGGCTGAGGTGGGAGGATTGCTTGAGCCCATGAGGTGGAGGTTGCAGTGAGGCCTGTTTGCACTACTGCACTCCCACCAACAGAGACCCTGTCTCAAAATAAAATAAAATAAAAATCTGGTTGTTAGGAGAATTGTATTGATATTAGAATTTAGGTGAAAATAGGTCCAAAGAACTCATGAATAAGTGATTCATTTCTCAAACTACTTAGGTAGAATAATAAAATATGGAATGTCAAAAGTTAAATGAGCACTTTCCCCTCTGTCGAAATAATCAGTTTGCATAGGAATTATGTTTTAGCCAAATGGCTGTGAGGCAAGTTGAAGTAAGACAAGAAAAATGACGATATTTTTAGATGAAAATATTTACTTTCAGCAGATTTTTTTTTTTAAGACAGAATCTTGCTCTGTTGCCCAGCCTGCAGTACAGTAGAGAAATCTTGGCTCACTGCTACCTCCGCCTCCTGGGTTTAAGCGATTCTTGTGCCTCAGCCTCCCAAGTAGCTGGGATTACAGGCATGTGCCACCATGCCCTGCTAATTTTTTGTATTTTTAGTAGAGACAGAGTCACCATGTCAGCTGGGCTGGTCTCAAACTCCTGGCCTCAAGTAATCCACCTGCCTTGGCCTCCCAAGGTGGTGGGATTACTGGCATGAGCCACCACTCTTGGCCTTTCAGCAGAATATTGACTGACAACAACAAAAATTTATGAAGGGAGCTATCCAACTCATGTAGTATGTGGCATTTAAAAACTTTCTTTATAGCCAGGATTTCTTCTCCATGTCAGATTAAGACATTTAACAGCTGTGCTTTCTGAAGACTTTCCATAGAGCCACAAAGTAGTAGTACACTTTTAAATCAGGATTTGGCTATGTGCTCAACTCAGGGGACTGTCATTAGCAATAGTAGTAGGCATCGCTGACTGCCACTGTGGATTCAGGTAGACAAAAAAGAAGAAAGAAAAGCAATCCAGAGGAAGAGTAGATATGGAGAAGTGGTAGAATCTTGCTATATGTTGCCTCTAGATATAAATCTATAACTGGGCGGATGTGGTGGCTCATGCCTGTATCTCAGCAGCTTGGGAGGCCAAGGCGGGCGGATCACCTGAGGTCAGGAGTTCGAGACCAGCCTGACCAACATGGAGAAACCCCATTTCTACAAAAATACAAAATTAGCAGATACTCGGGAGCCTGAGGCAGGAGAATCACTTGAACCTGGGAGATGGAGGTTGCGGTGAGCCAAGATCATGCCATTGCTCTCCCGCCTAGGCATCAAGGACGACATTCTGTCTCCAAAAAAAAAAAAAAACATTTAAATTATGACTAATAATCAACAAATTTTAGAGTGCAATTGTTGGCAATTTTTATGGTTTTTAAACTTTTCTTTTTTGTGTGTTTGTATGCAGCAATGAAGACTACTGGATGTAATTTAGATAAGGTAAATATTATTCCTAATGCCCTGATCACTCCACTCATACCAAGCAGTATGATTAAGAGTGAAGATGTTACTCCAATGGAAGTAACAGCAGAAAAAAGATCTTCCACTATTTTCAAGGTAAGCTGTATTGACTAGTGCCCCAACTTCTAACCTCCCGTATAAAAATTGCTATCTTCTAAAAATACAAAAAATTAGCTGGGCATGGTGGTGCATGCCTGTAATCCCAGCTACTCGGGAGGCTGAGGCAGGAGAATTGCCTGAACCCAGGAGGCGGAGGTTGCGGTGAGCCGAGATCGCGCCATTGCACTCCAGCCTGGGTAACAAGAGCGAAACTCCGTCTCAAAAAAAAAAAAAAAAAAAATTGCTATCTTTTACTTTTCCTATTTTTTTCAAATTGTTTTTGCTTTGGATGCACTTAATGAATTTTGCTCTAAAGAGGGAATGCCTTATACTTCAGCAAAATTGCCCACAAAGTGACTTCCAATATGCATTTTGACAAGGGAGGAATTAATATGTTATGTGAGATATTAATGAAAATACTAATTTTAGCATTTTCAGAATTAGAAATGTTTTTATTTGTTTCCCAGTCTTTTCTCATAACTCTGTATTTCTTTTTTTATACTTGTCTTCTCCCCTGTGATGTTACTGGTGAGCTGCACATTTGAGATATTTTGATACCTGCTCTTCATGAACCATAAAATTAATGTGTTCTGATTACCCTTAATTCACCTAAGCATACCAGTAGCCGATTATTCTACTTCCTTGTTTGACTATCTTTGCTTATAGTACTTTTTGAAAATACATCCCAAGGACAATGAGACATCATGTTACGGAGAATCGTAGTCCCGCACCTGTTTTCTAAATAATAATAATATAGAGTGGAAAACTGATCCTGCATATATTTTTAGAACAGTAGTGATTTTTTATGTATGTTACAAACTTATTTAATGTTTACATTTTCATATTATTTGGGGATTTTTATTTTTTAGACTACAAACACAGTTGGATCAACTCAGCAAACATTAGAAAACATCTCAAACATAGCAGGAAATGGCTCTTTTTCATCACCGTCATCTTCCCACCTGCCTTCAGAAAATGAAAAACAGCAGCAGATTCAGCCCAAGGCTTACAACCCAGAGACCCTGACAACTATTCAAACCCAGGACATCTCACAGCCTGGTACTTTTCCAGCAGTTTCTGCTTCTAGTCAGCTGCCCAACAGCGATGCTCTATTGCAGCAGGCTACACAGTTTCAGACAAGAGAAACTCAGTCTAGAGAGGTATTACAGTCAGATGGCACAGTGGTTAATTTGTCACAACTGACTGAGGCGTCACAACAACAGCAGCAGTCACCACTACAAGAACAAGCACAGACTCTACAGCAGCAGATTTCATCAAATATTTTTCCATCACCAAATAGTGTGAGTCAGCTTCAGAATACTATTCAGCAGTTGCAAGCAGGGAGTTTTACAGGCAGTACTGCTAGTGGCAGCACTGGAAGTGTTGACTTGGTCCAGCAAGTTTTAGAGGCACAGCAACAGTTATCTTCAGTTTTATTTTCTGCTCCAGATGGTAATGAGAATGTTCAAGAGCAGCTTAGTGCAGACATTTTTCAACAAGTCAGTCAAATTCAAAGTGGTGTAAGCCCTGGAATGTTTTCCTCAACAGAGCCAACAGTCCATACCAGACCAGATAATTTATTACCTGGAAGAGCTGAAAGTGTTCATCCACAGTCTGAAAACACGTTATCTAATCAACAGCAGCAGCAGCAGCAACAGCAAGTGATGGAATCTTCAGCCGCAATGGTGATGGAGATGCAGCAGAGTATCTGCCAGGCAGCTGCCCAGATTCAGTCAGAGTTATTCCCTTCAACTGCTGCAGCAAATGGAAACCTTCAGCAATCACCAGTTTACCAGCAGACTTCTCACATGATGAGTGCATTGTCTACCAGTGAGGATATGCAAATGCAGTGTGAATTGTTTTCTTCTCCTCCTGCAGTTTCTGGAAATGAAACTTCTACAACCACCACACAGCAGGTTGCAACCCCTGGCACTACCATGTTTCAGACACCAAGTTCAGGAGATGGAGAAGAAACTGGAACACAAGCAAAACAGATTCAGAACAGTGTCTTTCAGACGATGGTCCAAATGCAACATAGTGGGGACAGTCAACCTCAAGTTAACCTTTTTTCGTCCACAAAAAGTATGATGAGTGTTCAGAATAGTGGTACGCAGCAACAAGGTAATGGTTTATTCCAGCAAGGGAATGAGATGATGTCACTTCAATCTGGAAATTTTTTGCAGCAGTCTTCTCATTCACAGGCCCAGCTTTTTCATCCTCAAAATCCTATTGCTGATGCTCAGAACCTTTCCCAGGAAACTCAAGGTTCTATTTTTCATAGTCCAAATCCTATTGTCCACAGTCAGACTTCTACAACCTCCTCTGAACAAATGCAGCCTCCAATGTTTCATTCTCAAAATACCATTGCTGTGTTACAGGGCTCTTCAGTTTCTCAAGACCAGCAGTCAGCCAACATATTTCTTTCCCAGAGTCCTATGAGTAATCTTCAGACTAACACAGTAGCCCAAGAAGAACAGATTTCATTTTTTGCAGCACCAAACTCAATTTCTTCACTTCAGTCAACATCAAACACTGAACAGCAAGCTGCTTTCCAACAGCAAGCTCCAATATCACACATCCAGACTCCTATGCTTTCCCAAGAACAGGCACAGTCCTCCCAGCAGGGTTTATTTCAGCCTCAAGTGTCCCTGGGCTCCCTTCCACCTAATCCAATGCCTCAAAGCCAACAGGGAACCATGTTCCAGTCACAGCACTCAATAGTTGCCATGCAGAGTAACTCTCCATCTCAGGAGCAGCAGCAGCAGCAGCAACAACAACAGCAGCAGCAGCAGCAACAACAACAGAGCATTTTATTCAGTAATCAGAATACCATGGCTACAATGGCATCTCAAAAGCAACCACCACCAAACATGATATTCAACCCAAATCAAAATCCAATGGCTAATCAGGAGCAACAGAACCAGTCAATTTTTCACCAACAAAGTAATATGGCCCCAATGAATCAAGAACAGCAGCCCATGCAATTTCAGAGTCAGTCCACAGTTTCCTCACTCCAGAACCCTGGTCCTACCCAGTCTGAATCATCACAGACCCCCTTGTTCCATAGCTCTCCTCAGATTCAGTTGGTACAAGGGTCACCTAGTTCTCAAGAGCAGCAAGTAACACTCTTCTTATCTCCAGCATCCATGTCTGCCTTGCAGACCAGTATAAATCAACAAGATATGCAACAGTCTCCTCTTTATTCCCCTCAGAACAACATGCCTGGAATTCAAGGAGCCACATCTTCGCCTCAACCACAGGCTGCTTTATTTCACAACACAGCAGGAGGCACAATGAACCAACTACAGAATTCTCCTGGCTCATCTCAGCAGACATCAGGAATGTTCTTATTTGGCATTCAAAATAGTAAGAAACTCTTAATTTCTCATTACTAAATTGGTCATTGTTATTATTAGAAGGAAATAGAGTACAGTGTTGCGATCTCGGCTCACTGCAACCTCTGCCTCCCAGGTTCAAGTGATTCTCCTGCCTCAGCCACCTGAGCAGCTGGATTACAGGTGTGCACCACCATGCCCAGCTAATTTTTGTATTTTTGTTAGAGATGGGATTTCACTATGTTGGCCAGGCTGGTCTCCAACTCCTGACCTCAAGTGATCCTCTGGCCTCAGTCTCCCAAAGTGCTAGGATTACAGGTGTGAGCCACTGCACCCAGCCTGTACAGTTGTTTTAAGAGTACAGATTGTAGTTAGAACTCTATCACCTATAGACTGTAAGATCTTGTACAAGTTATTTGGCTTTTATGGGATTCAATTGTCACATCTAAAATGGTAATAATAGAGCTAGAAACCCATCTTTAATATTTATATACAAAGGAATTCATATATGACTTGATATTTAAGCAAAATTGTATTTTTAGACTGCTTAAAGGAAACCTAGGATGAATTCCAGTACCAATCTGTGAAAACCTTTTTCTTGGACTATCAGGTGCCTAACTTTTAGTAATATACAAGGAGAATGCAGTAATGAATTTTCCCCAACAACTAATAAATACCTTTTCATGAATCTTTACTAATCAGATAGCTTCTATTTTCAATATCTCTGCAGACTGTAGTCAGCTTTTAACTTCTGGACCAGCTACATTGCCTGATCAGTTGATGGCCATAAGTCAGCCAGGCCAACCACAAAATGAGGGCCAGCCACCTGTTACAACACTTCTTTCTCAGCAAATGCCGGAGAATTCTCCACTGGCATCATCTATAAACACCAACCAGAATATTGAAAAGATTGATTTGCTTGTTTCGTTGCAAAACCAAGGGAACAACTTGACTGGCTCCTTTTAACTGGATATGTAAGTATTGCATCTTGGCTTCTTATTGAAAAGCATCAAATTTTATTCTTCTTAATCGATTTAAGTAATAATAGTTTAGTTCTGGCTAGGCTCAGTGGCGCACACCTGTAATCCCAGCATTTTGGGAGGCCAAGGGGGCAGATGACGAGGTCAAGAGATCAAGACCATCCTGGCCAACATGGTGAAACCCCATCTCTATTAAAAATACAAAACTGGTTGGGGGGGACTAGAGGAGGGACAGTGGGGGCTACGGAGTTGGGGAGGGATAACATGGGGAGAAATTCCAGATATAGGTGATGGGGATGGAGGCAGCAAACCACATTGCCATGTATGTACCTATGCAACAATCCTGCATGTTCTTCACATGTACTCCAGAACCTAAAATGCAATTAAAAAAAAAATATATATATATATATGTGTGTGTGTGTGTGTGTATATATATATACACACACACAGAAATTAGCTGGGCATGGTGGCATGTGCCTGTAGTCCCAGCTACTTGGGAGGCTGAGGCAGGAGAATTGCTTAACTGTGAGGTGGAAATTGCAGTGAGCCGAGATCACACCACTACACCTCCTGGGCGACAGAGTGAGACTTTGTCTCAAAAAAAAAAAAAAAAGTTCTGAATGATAGCTTATGATCATATTGTTAATACAGAGCAAGCATCCCTAGTCCAAAAATCCAAAATCCGAAATGCTCTGAAATCCAAATCTTTTTGAGCACTGACATGACATCTCAAGTGGAAAATTCCACAACTGACCTCATATGACAGGGTTATAGTCAATGCAGGCTCACAACATGCAGTTTATTCAGTGTCCCTAAGGTAAAAAAAATTATCCCAGCCCCCTTCAGCTGTGATAGATCTTTTTAGGTGTATATGAAACAGAAGTGAATTTCATATTTGGACTTGTGTCTTATCCCCAAGATACCTCATTGTGTATATGTACATATTCCAAAATCCAAAAAAGTCAGAAACACTTGTGATCCCAAGCATTTTAAGTAAGGGATATTCAACCTATATTGGACATTCCTTCTGCCTCTGAGCTTCTTTGCCTTTGAATGACAAAAGTGGAAAATGTGTTTCCTTTGTACTATGTATTGGATATAATCATGCCTCATTTATCCCTTCCTCCAGAAATAAATATTGAGTCAGAAAGGTTTATGGGGCCGGGCATGGTGTCTCACGCCTATAATCCCAGCACTTTGGGAGGCCACGGCAGGCAGATTCCAAGGTCAGGAGTTTGAGACCAGCCTGGCCAATATGGTGAAACTCCATCTTTGTACTAAAAATACAAAAAGTTAGCAGGGCATGGTGACAGTAGCGCCTGTAGTCCCAGCTACTCAGGAGGCTGAGGCAGGAGAATTGCTTGAACCCAGGAGGTGGAGGTTGCAGTGAGCCAATATTGCACCATTGTACTCCAGCCTGGGCGACAGCCTCAGACTCTGTCTTGAAAAAAAAAGAAAAGTTTGTGGAAGATCGAATATAATAAAGTTTTACTTATAGTACCATAATATACTTAAGGATCATTCAAGGTGTCAGAAACTTTATAAATGCTTCTCTCCCTAGTATGTTACATTAAACTTTTTCTCTTTTTTAGAAATTCCATGAAGAAAATCCTGATTCCAAGATGTCCTGAGATCTTGTGGTTTCATGAGAATGATTGAACTGTTAACTTTAAAAACAAAACAAGATATGAAAAATTGTATTTGAGTAAATTGATAGATTTTACTCTGACTGCAAAAGAGCACACCTATGCTGCTTGTTGCAGTGATGAACCACCAACGTTAACATCTTCATATTTTATATTCCTAATAACAGTGATGACTGAGAATCCATTTGAGTTTCCAGCTGGCAGAATTAATTGTTACTATTTTCTTGGGCGTAATTTCCTTAAAAGTACAGTTTAAATTCAAGGCTGGACCACTCAGTTGTTATTGCTATTAGAAAATGATATGTCATGTTTACTTTTGTTCTTCATTATTTTCTTTCCTGTGTTGTTTTAGTCAAGTAATGGCTTTTGAAAAAGTAAAGTTCAGTAATAACTAAGGCATATTTTTTCAATATAAAAGGCACAGCTGTTGGCCACAGTGAAGGAATCTTTTTTTCAGTTTTTATGGAGAAACTGAAGGGGTAACATTCTAACAAGTAAACTGTATATGCAGATAAAAGGACTCTTGATTTAACAAAAAGGCATATGATACACTTATAAAACTGGGAACAGCTGGAATGCTATCGATTTTATTTTTCAGAGAGTTGTTCTCTGAGTTTCTACTAAGGGGTTTAGCCATAACTGTGCATAGAAAAATAATTACCTTTATTTTAAAAATGAAGGGGATAATATATGATAAATTATGTTCTGATATCCTCCTACAGTAGTTTAAACTGACAGAAAAATTTGAGTGTTTTCTTCTTAACCCAGTATTAGGCTGGTTTTCCCTTTTTATATACATCTGTATTACTTTTCACTTCTTTTTCACTTTAGAGAACTATTACTATACTACTGGCTTCATGACCCTGTAGCATCTTTGGCCACTTTAATCTAGGGTGACCTAGCAATCCTGCAGCACAGGGCAGAGATTATTCTCTTAGGAATTATTGGGAGTTGATTCCTGAGAAACAACACATTTTTTCCCCATGAACGGTGCTGTTCTGAAGTCTTCAAATTTTTCCCTCTAATAGGAAACAGTATAAATTTCAATTAGGAAAAAAAAAAAGGCAAACTAAAATTTCTTGAAACATCACTTCTCCCTGATCTGCAGTGAGTGTAAATTCACTTGTCACCTCAGTGCTTTACAGTTTGAAGTGGTCACTTCCCACAAGCCTTAGGCTTTACAGGGTCATATCATTAACTTAAAATGAAGAATTAACTTGTGTTACATCTATAAAGAGCAAAATAACACTCCAGAACTTGGCAGTTGTAGCATTAGTTATACAGTTTTGGGTGTTCTTGCCACCCGTGGGATGCCTGCTTCTCACTACCACCTGTGTCTGGACACATGCTTATGTCTCATTTTTCTTTTGGCATGTGGAAAGCTGTCAATGCAGTGTAAGGCCAACGTGTGTGTGGCTTCTATGTGTTTATATAATGTTTTGGTATCCTTGTTCGTTTCATTTATTTTTTAAGTGTACAAAAAATAGCCTGTTAATTGTTGAAGGCTACTTTTCTGTTTTTGTTTTCTGTTTTTGTTTTCTATCATGTACATTTAGTTCAACTGTGTAGAATTGTGGTGTTGGTTTTGTTTATACAGCCAGATTTTTCCTTTTTTCTTTTTTTGTGATGATCTTCCTTTGTTCTTTGAATGTGCCCTTTTAAGTTGTCTTTTTCTCTTTATTCTCATGTTTTCTTCCCTCCACCTCCACCCCTTTCTTTCTTTCTCTCTCTGATTGAGAGGCATTGAATTACGTTTTCAGTAGTACAGGCTTCTTGCCGATATGAAGGGAACTTTTCAGAAAGAGACCTACTCTGGGTCATTTAATTTTGAATACAGTTTTCAATCGTTCAAGTTTTGGATGGTTTATATCTAATGTGTGTTTCATTTTTTTGGAAAGCTATATTTTGTATTTAGGAAATGGTATACTATTTTGCTATTTGTACTGAGTGAGTACATTGGCATAAATATAGAAATTTATATATATACATATATATAAACTATTCTTTTTTGCCACACATTTTTGTGGTAAATTTGTGAGTTTGTCTGATGTTCTACCACAACGTGGCGTCTGATAACAGTGAGGGGGGGGGGTTTGTTATGTCTTTATTGAGTATTTAAGTATCTTTTGAAACAAATGACCTGTTCATCTGTGGCCATTCCATCAGGCAGTTCCTTGATGTTAGTAGTGGGCTAAAGGCAGCTTACTGTGTGTTTGCTGGAGCTTTCACTCAGCCAAGTGTTAGAGTAAGGAAACCCATTGAGGCAATGGCGTCAAATGGTGTTTCACAAGAATGAGCCATTCAGTCTTTGCTCACTATATATTTAATATTTTATTATTATTATTAATTGGCTTTCTGTATTCTATGCCTTTTATTTATAAAGACACTAAGAAAACCCATGTTTGTAATTTTAATAACATTTTTCCCCATCTTGTAATATCCTGAGCTACTTTATAAATTCTCTGAACCAAAAGTATTTTCCTCAGTGTATCTCTTCTCCCCCAGCCCTTTTGGGAAAAATTACCCAGTATAGTTCAGGTTATGAGGAGGATCAGCCACACAATCCAGTGCTTCAGTTTGAAAATGTAAAACTCTAACCCTAAAGTAGGGTTGATTGAAATGTCAGACAAAGCAAACCCAGCAGGTATAAAAAGAAGTAGTAGAAATAAAAATCTGTAAGTTTATTTTTGAATTTTCTGAACTTTTTTCTAGGAGATTATGTAGGAGACTAAAGGAATCTGTTGACCAAGTTCTAATTAGGATGATTGTTAATACTGCACTGTAGATGAAGTAGTGGCAAGACTGGCTTGTGTGCTGACTTCTTTTCTGTGGTTTAGCAAGAGGTTTATTGTTATAAAATGCTGATTGGCAATGCCAAGTCACTGGGACCAATTTTCTGTTTTATAATCTAAGTTTGGAACAGAATATATACCTGAACTGTAGTGGTTTGATTGGATGGAGGCAGAAAATCCAATTTTTATTCTCATAAATTTTGTGATTATTTATACAAGGGCTGTGCTATGCTATCATATTCTCGTTCAATAATAATAGTTTTTTTTGTGTTTTTACATTGTTAAATGTTCCTAACCCCTAAAGGTCAATATTAAGTACAACATTCTGAAAATACAATTTGGTTACGAAGAGTATTCATCTTCTTTGAAGCTCAGTGGTTGATACTTGTGCTAATAATGCAATTTCCTGATTAATGTTACAAGTTACAGCTACATATAGGAGAGACTCAGTTAGCCAGCAAAGGCCATAGAAACAACAATGTATTAAATGTATTTATGGCAGAAGGACCTAAATAAACTGTGAGCCACCTTTTCTTTCTTTGTATTGTTACATTCAATTGTTGATTTCAGCAACTCACATTAATGCTTGGAGCTTATCTCTCTCTCTCTCTCTCTCTCTCTCTCTCACACACACTCTCTCCCCCCCTTCTCTCTCTCTCTCTCTCTCTGTGTGTGTGTGTGTGTGTGTGTGTGTGTGTGTGTGTGTGTGAGATTCCTTATTGTCATCATTCCATTATATATCCAGACCAACATGGGTGACAATAATTCTAAGTCATATTTTTCCTCTGAGCTTGATCATGTTACCTTTATGATTAGAGTATCATGTTATTTAGCCATTGCAAATCTGTTTTAAAACAACTCATTTTTAAAAAAGAACAAGTTTTTAAGGGCTTTATTATAGAAGTATTAATGAAGGATTTTCCTTTCTCCTTTCTTTCCTTCCTTCCTTTCCTCCCTCCCTCCCTTTTCCCCTTCCTCCTTGCCTTCTTCGTTTCTTCTTCCCTTATTCCTCCCTCCCTCGTTTCTCCCTTCCTTCCCTCCATCCATCCTTCCTTTTTTTTTTTTTTTTTTTTTTTTGGTAATATCACATGTGCTGTAGTTCGGAATTTTATTCTAGTGCATTTCTTGCCCATCAGAACCTCAGCTAATCTACATAGGAAAAATAGTGTCAAAGGAAATGAATTTGTATCTGAGTCCCTCCAGAGCTAAGATAATTCTTTTTGACCATTTAAGCCTTTATAAATGCTTGTTTTAGGAAAGTGAATCTGTTAGATACATCAACAAATAATGACCAGATAAAATGATTTAATAATTAAAGTCTCAAATTCACCATGGTTATACATTTTCACCAGAAATAAATTTTATAATTTGTAATTATTCTGATGAAGATTTCTGTCCCAGTATCTGTTTCCTAATTGATTTTTAAAATTAATTAGCATCCCCCTGCTTTATGACCATAGGCTTTATCCCTAACCAAGACAGCTGTCTTATATCCGCATGCCTTAGGCTATATAGAGGGACTCCATGAAGAAAGACCATAGGTTAGAAAAATAACTCGGAGGCCGGGCGCGGTGGCTCACGCCTGTAATCCCAGCACTTTGGGAGGCCGAGGCGGGTGGATCACAAGGTCAAGAGATCGAGACCATCCTGGTCAACATGGTGAAACCCCGTCTCTACTAAAAATACAAAAAAAATTAGCTGGGCATGGTGGCGCGTGCCTGTAATCCCAGCTACTCAGGAGGCTGAGGCAGGAGAATTGCCTGAACCCAGGAGGCGGAGGTTGCGGTGAGCCGAGATCGCGCCATTGCACTCCAGCCTGGGTAACATGAGCGAAACTCCGTCTCAAAAAAAAAAAAAAGGAAAATAACTCGGAGTATATACCCTAGCAAGTGGGTTAGTAGAATCTCATAACATATATTAAAAAGAGGTTTTCTCTTCTGCCTGTTTGTGTCACTAGAGGAAAATTGTAGAGATAATGTTCATAATATAGTAACTATCAGAATAATATCTACAATATCATTTGTGGATGGTCTCAGTGCTCTAGTTACTCTTTTTTTTTTTTTTTTTTTTTTTTTTGGTGAGACAGAGTCTTGCTCTGTTGCTCAGGCTGGAGTGCAGTGGTGTGATCTCAGCTCATTGCAACCTCCACCCCCTGGGTTCAAGCGATTCTCCTGCCTCAGCCTCCCGAGTGGCTAGGATTACAGGTACTCACCACTACACCTAGCTAATCTTTTTTTTGTATTTTTAGTAGAGACAGGATTTCACCATGTTGGCCAGGCTGGTTTTGAACTCCTGACCTCCAGTGATCCACCCACCCCAGCCTTCCAAAGTGCTAGGATTACAGGCAGGAGCCACCACACCTGGCCTAATTACTTCTTTAACCCCCATTTATTTTTATGCCATTCTAGCCTCATTTATTAATAAAATTCTGGTTTTACTCTTTCAAAAAATTTTTTAAATTAATATTTTATATCTAGATCAAATGCTATGGAAAAGTGCCTTTTTTATCATTTATAATTTCATTTTTCATTATTTCCAAAAACACATAAACAGATAGTTTGAACAGATCCCAGCTTTCACTTTTTCCATTTAAACCTTCTTTCCTCCATTTCTTCCCTTTGGCTTAAGAAAAACAGAAAAGGTATATTGCTAGAATTGTTTCTTTCAGAGAGGGTAAAAGATTACAGAATTAGACTGTTCAGGCTTTATACAAATTAAATTTGTCTTCATCTCAGCCAGCTAAAGGTAGGTCTTAACTGAATGCTGATTAGAATTTTAGCATCTGTGAAATTCCATGCACACAGATGTGTGTAAATTTCAGAGAGAAAGTGTTTAAAACATTTTCTCTGATGTTAATTAGATGGAAATAAATCACTAAAACATAGTTTAGGTAAAGCCTAACTATGTCACTTTTTTTTTTTTTTTTTGACTAGACAAGGCAAAGTCGTTTATTTTAATACACTTCTTGTCTATTGTCAGTTAATTCACCTAGAATAAAAGGATGAAAGGAAATGAGAAAGGAGTCCCTCCAGACTTAAGGCAATTCCTTTTGATCAGATACAGTTGGATAGAGTGCCCTGGTTTTTGTTAATTTTGCCTCTATTCCAGCTCCTTACCACAGTGGAGCTTGAAGAAAGTGCCATCAGCAACAGGTCAGGATAGTAGACCTTTGGGTTAGGGCTGCTTTCCCCATGCTAGTATTTCTGTGACTGTTAGTGGCACTGAAGACTGCAAACTCTTATGCAATGTTCTTAATACCCTATTGATATTATGCACTTTAATCATTCCAAAGAAGCGAAGAATGCTATATAGTGATGATTCCTTCCTAATGAATACGTTTTAACTATTTAGAATATTATGTCCCTTTTCTTTTGAATAGCCAACTTGGTATAAATGTTATATGGATTTTTCTAAAATGACAGTATAGGACCTAAGGCTTTGAAATGTAATTTACTATAAGGTGAAATGATTACACTTTAGCAAATCATTTTAGAAACATTCAGCTTGCTAACCTACATGTTTGGGAATTCATTAAAACCAGCTGTCTTTCTATATATTTTGTGTCATGTATGTAAGAACATTTCAATATATCATTTTCTATGTACATAGTATGTGCAAACCTGTGGTTCTCAGAGTATGGTTCTCAGCCCACCAGCTAGTATCAGTATCAACCGGGAACTAGTTAGGAATGTAAATTCTTGGGCCCCATCCCAGACATACTGAGTTGGAAACTTTGGAATAGAGCCCAGCAATCTGTGTTTTCACAAGCGCTCCAGGTGATTCTGATGCACACTTTAAAGTTTAAGAACCACTGGTCTAAGGTTATATTGAAATCTAGAGAGTTTTTCTTCAACTCAGACTGATACATTGTTCTTTATGTAAATTCAGCTTAATGTGGTTATCTATAATCTTTTATTGGCAAAGATAATTTATTCTCAGTACTGCCTATAGAGAGATACAGTATATTTTATGTATATACATAGTCTAATTCTTGATAATTCTGTTAGTTTGGAATTTTTCTACCACTTACTAAAAAGTTTACATTAAATGATTGATTTAAATATATAGGTGCAATGTTCTATATTTATTTTCATTGTTAGTCATTTAAGTAGCTAATAAAATTGACCGGTGCTAAAGTCTCCTGTTTATCCATAAAATGGGTACATTGTGGGCGGTATAATACAAGCTTTCTTTCCATTGCCTAGTACTTTACCAGCAGACCACAGTTTTTCTCTGGCCAGACCAACCCTCAGAACAAAATCATCATTCCTTGTATTTATATTTGTATCTGAGATAGTCAACAAGATGGCTGGCCAGGTCAACATAGCACCTTAACTTATTTTTTTAATAGGTAAAACTTCTTCAAAAGTAGCTTGCTTTGTATAAGAACTAAGCTATCAGTGGAGATATAGCTATCCTTGGAGCTTATGCTTCAGACAAGAATTATTAACTAAAATAACAAGATAATGCGTTACATAATTTGGGCATTTCCCCTTTCTCAAGTGTATGCATCGTGGTAGATATAAACTAACCACAACATAGGTAGATTGACTGATTTCATTTTAATTTCCTTGCATAATTCAGTACCTCTATAATTGTTCTAATCTCCTTCCCACTGTTTACAAATCACCAGTTAGTTAATTTGTGAAAGAAAAATTCACATTTCAAAATAAAAGTCAATGTATACTCACTTTATGAAAATCACCACTGCTGTCTTTCCTTAATACCAGCAGTGGACATGTGAGTGGCTTATTCTACAAATTTTGGTGCTGGCAAATACATAGGCAGACTGTTGGGAGCTGCTCTAGTTACATTCCTCCTTTCTTATTCCCTTTTTCTCTTCCCCATTTTTTTGCATAATATATTCCTGTACCCAAAGCATTCTACCACAGTTCTATTCGACTCCCACTTGTAATACCCTTTAAACAATTCCATGTTTAGCCATATGACCCGGCTTGCTAGCTCATGTTCTCCCTCCCTCTCGCTCTCCTTTCTCTCTCTTCCAGAAGTCATTTGCCTGGTTTGAAATATTTTGTAGGGATTGCTTATTACTATTATTTTAGCTGATGAACCTCAGGACAACATATACATACACTTACACGCATACATATACACGCACACAAAATCTCAGCTGTTGAAGAGTGGGTTTGGAATCAGACTTCTGTGACCAGGAAAGAACTGTCCTGTGCTGAAGTCATTGTGACTTTAGTAGTTACAGACTGATTCCAGTGAACTTTATCTGATTTCTTTTAATCTAATGAATGTATCCGATTACCTTGTTTCCTTCTAATTGATAAGCTCCAAGTAGTTGCTAATTTTTTGACAACTTTAACTGAGTTTCATTCAATTCTTATACTAAGTGTTTTAAGTATACTACCAATATTTCATTAACCTGTTCTTGAGTGGTTTAGCTACCATTCTGCCATTTTTAATTTTTATTTAATTTTATTTGCTTGAGCACACTGATCAACCACTGAACTGCCTTCTTCCATTGTCCTGCAGTGAAATAAGGGTTACATTTTTGTGTATATGGCTTTCATAGTTGGGATTTCAGAGCACTGATACCAGATAATTTTCAGTTTGTTCTCTGGGGGAATTTCATTTGCATCTATGTTTTTAGCTATCTGTGATAACTTGTTAAATATTAAAAAGATATTTTGCTTCTATTGGAACATTTGTATACTCGCAACTATATTTCTGTAAACAGCTGCAGTCAAAAATAAAACACTGAAAGTTTTCATTTTGCAGTGGGTAACTGTCTTTTTTCCCTCAAACTTTGTGAACGGAATTGTGTGCATGAATGGCAGTTTTGAGCAGAATAAGTACGTGGTTGAAGTTACAAAATCATTAGGGAAGAGGTATGAAA